CAGACTTACACTTAGAAGGGGTTTTACAAATCGATGTACTTTTGTGGTTTCTCTTGATATTGTCCTGAGGTGGGTGTCATTATATTGGTAGGGCTGGCATTAAAGTAAAAGCATCAGCTTTCTGTCTCTGTGCCCCAGTATGGAATTATAGAATTCTGCCACTATGCCCCAGCTAAGGTTTCTCTTCCAAATTCAGGTTCAGGACAATGTTATGAACATCTAGGAGAGTCTGGAAGCTTCAGTATGGAGCTGTGTGGAGTGTAACCCTTGGAATCTAAAAGGGATAAAGGGATGAGTGTGGATTTAAGGGAAACCTGGAAGCAAGAAGGAAGAAGAAACATGTTCTGATTATCAACAGACAAATGGTTATTGGTTTGTAGATGACTATGAACTTGAGTGGAAGGAAACAGTAAGTTAATAATCAGAAACATACTGATAAGTCAAGAGATTAATTAATTTGGGAGAAAGGTTAATTAATTGGATGAATATATGACAAAGACATCACAAGTAGATGTTTTAATTGATAGTTACATCACTAGTGAGGAAGTTAAGGGAGAAAAGCATGCTATATCAGATTTCACCCTGGTGCTTTGGACTCTGCTAGCAAATATATCCAGTTTACTTCTCTGCTATGATAAAACACTGACCAAACCAAGTTACAGGAGGAAAAGATTTTTTTCTTTCTTATGAGTTTCAGTCCATATCAAGGAAAGCAAAGCAAGGCAGATGATTGAAGTAGAGATCACCAAGAAATGCTGCTCACTGACCTACACCCTTTACTTGCTTATTTACCTTTCTTTTATAACCCATGACCACCTTCCTAGGGATGAGACCACCTGGAGTGAACTGGGCCATCCTATTTCAATTAACTACCAAGAAAATGTCCCCATAGAGCAGTGGTTCTCAACCTTTCTAATGCTGTTAACCTGTAATACAGTTTCTCACCTTTTGGTGACTCCCAACCATAACATTATTTCACTGCTACTTCATAACTGTAATTTTGCTAGTGGCAAAATGTAATGTAAATATCTGATAGGCAACCCCAAAGGGTCACAACCCACAGGTTGAGAACTACTTTCATAGTGTTATCCACAGGTTCGTTTGATGGAAGTGATTTTTCAACTGAGGTTCCTTCTTCCTAGTGTGCCAAGCTGACAATCAAGACTTGACATCACAGAAGGTAAGAGACATAGATCTGGTTCCCTGAAAGTCTTTGAGAACTGAGCACCAGCTTCTCATCTGCTTGGCAGTTGTTAATTGTCCTCATACCCACCTATCTTCCTCATTTTCCCCATTGCTTATCAAAACCTCCTGTAAAAGAGATAAGAAAATGTGGGAATGTCTCTCTATGGATTCAATGGGTATGTTGTATTTGTCATCGATTTCAGGAGAAACCCTTGGGTCTTCATTAAACTTACTTTTGGTAACAAAAGATGTCTACGGACCAGGTGGTGGGAGATCCATTAGTTACATTTTCACAGAGAATATAAACCCTTTTAGGAAGACTCTATGATTTCAAAAACTAGTAAATTAAACTAATAAAATAATGATGTTGATAAGAAATATGATCTTTTTGTAAACAGTAAGTCCAATGAGCTTTTGAGCGATAGTCTTTATTTAAAATGACTGTCGGCCGGGCGGTGGTGGCACACGCCTTTGATCCCAGCACTCGGGAGGCAGAGCCAGGAGGATCTCTGTGAGTTCGAGGCCAGCCTGGACTACAGAGTGAGTTCCAGGAAAGGCGCAACACTACACAGAGAAACCCTGTCTCGAAAAACCAAAAAAAAAAATAATAATAATAAAATAAATAAATAAATAAATAAATTAATTAAATGACTGTCAAGGAGTACTTTAAAAATTTAAAGCTAATTGAAATCTTCATTGTTCTAGTTACTTTACACAGTAGGATTTTATGTAAATGGGGTCATCTGTTGTCAGTTGTCACCTTGCATTGTGCCCTGCTTGATTCTGGACTGGAACTTGTAGTATTCCTAGATTGCCTGTAGAGGGTGCTGGAGAGATGCTGCAGAGAGGGGCTCCTTCCCTTGGTGCACTGCATTGTTGTGTGGGTGGTTTCTACATCTCAGAGGTGCCCAGTAATATTTGAGGCACTCTCTGCTTCGGGTCCTTCAGTGTGTTCTTTCTTGAACTTACCTTGTTCACTTTCCTCCCCCAAGCATTTTTCCTACCTTCCCTCCTCAGTCCACTGCCTGCCTGCCATTCTTATGGAGGCAATCCAGAAGATGTCTTTGTGGCAACAGCTATATCTTTACCAACAAAGTCTGGATCCATACCTTGAAGGCCCTGTTCCAAATATGTCCTGTCATTGGTACCCTTCTTCCACCACAGGACATCCTTTACCATTCTCTTTTATCCTTTCTTAGGATCTGATCCCCTATTAGTAATTAATGTTCCTTTACATTAAGCATTCCCTTTTCAAACTATTACATGGCTTCTGTCTTTTTACTGGGCCTGTTTGTATCAAGTAGCAGATGCTATTAACCTTGCCCATATCTATGGTATACACACCATTCCATGTCATGACCAGCACATTCTATACAATCACCTGGAACTCTCTCCTCAGGCGTTGGCTTATCATATAGATGAGGCAAGCCAGGAATATGGTGGAGTTCAAGTCATGAAAGCAGCCTTCAGATCCCTGACAGATGGAAGTTGGATGATGAATAGTCTGACTTCTGCTTCATTACATGGTCATAGTCCTTTTAAAAAATATATTTTCATTTAGAATTTCATACTTAGATACAATGTATTTTATTCACCCCCTACTTTTAAACACTCCACTGACCGAGCAGTTGTAAATTCCTGCATTAGCTCCTGTCTTCTGCGCCAACAGTTCTCTCAAGAGGTCTGAGAGCCACACTAATTCACAGTCAGTCCTGCTCTATGATACCCCAAACTCCCTAGGGTATTGAGTCGATGTGTACAGTGATCTTCCACAGTGATAAAATCACTCATTGGGTCTTTCCTTGCCTGCCTTTCTCCCCACTTTCCAACCAAGGTTTTCTGATGTCACCCACTAAATCATTCACTAAAATCTCCAGACATGCTTCTATGGGAACACAAACTGTGCCTCAGCCTCAGAGATGAAAGAAGAAAGTATCTAAGAAACTAAATAGTCAAGCAGTAGAGTTAAGCACTTACTCCATCTCTGCCCATTTCTCTTTATGTTTCTTCAGGAACCAGCTTTATAAAGATAATTTTATTATGCATTTGAGAGATGAAGACCTAGTAGGCCTATTCTAAACATATAAGCACTATGTATGTTCCACAGAGAAAAACAAAATTAACTTGTTTAAATGTGAATCTCTCTTATGCATGGTGGCTCTGTAGTGCAACCCTGTAACTCCCACACCCAGGGAGCAAGGGAAGGAAGATTGCCACATGTTGGAGGCCAGACTGGGCTGAAAAATGAGAGCTTGTCTTAAAACTCAAAAACAAAATAGTGAATCTCTGTGTTCTAGTTTCTTGACTTGGGGAAGAAAGGGTTTATTTCATTTTACAGGTCACAGGCCATGATCAAGGGAAACAAAGACAGGAACTCAAGACAGAAGCTTGAAGCAGGAACCATTTAGGAATGCTGCTTACTGGTCTTCTCTACTACACACACACACACACACACACACACACACACACACACACACACACACATGTTACCCTGCCTAGGAATGGCACTGCCCACAGTGGGCTGGGGTCCTCCTATGTCAATGAACAATCAAGGAATTCTCCATAGGGCAATCTGATGGGGACAATGAGGTTCACTCTTCACTTGGTGTGTCAAGTTGGAAAACCAAGATTAGTCATTACACCCTGTAAAGGTTTATCATGGCAGGGACCTAAGTAACATTAAAATAAGAAATAATTTTTAATGACAGAAGAATATTTTCCTGTATGATATGCCATCAAGGGGTACTATCTCTAATCAGATCCTAGATGACACATTATTTTCTGTGAGTGTGGTCAAAATATCATGTTGTTGTTGTTACGGATGATAGTTCTGTTATGGCTGATAGTGGCATAGTTGTTCATTGAAACCTGAAGCTCTGGTGTCTGAGTAAAACAATTATTTGAAGTAAACATGAGTAAAGCCTTGGAACAACTATTTTCAGGCTTGGGGACTTGATGTCACAAGATCTACAGTTGTGAGCCTCTGTTATAGTCAGTAACCATTCTTCTCTCAAGCTCAGCCTCATAAGCCATCTTAAGACAGCATTTTCATAAATATGTCCATGGCCTACACCCCAGAAATAGGACAGATGATGTGTCAGAAGTCGATTCTAATTGGAACACATGCCCATCTCTCAGCACAGTTTAAAACAGGGAATAGTTCAAAGAGAAAGTGATGAGTCTCCAGGAAGAAATTGGTGAGCATCTTATGATAGAGACACCATTACCATGCACACAACTCCTTCTGCCTAACATCCCCCTCAGTTGACATCTCCTGTCTAGATAGAATGGTGGTTCATATCCAGAGTTCAAGTTCTGCTTGGCTATCAGAAGACAGTGGTGACTATTTGATTTGACTCCACTGACTCTCTGATTAGAGTAGGAAGAGACAATGTCGCTTATTTGAGGCAACAGTTTACCAAGGCAACATTCAGGAATGGAGATTTCAACTCCTGAATATCACTGCAAATGTTAGTAAGGGACCCTAATAGACCCAGGGAACATTAGCCATGTGGCTGCAGTGACCACAGGCAGTTCTCTAAACAGGACAGTCAGGTATGTACCCCTCAGCACTATTCAGCCATGACCTGCCTGTTGAGTTCTGGGATTTTTCTCCCTTGGGACAATAAACCGCAGTGTAAGGGAGAGCTATATCTTGAGTTCAGGGGTAATTCCAAGGGGGATATGACACTCTTCACCCTAAAGGGAATTCCTAAATAAAATAAAATAAAAAAACCCAGTTCTTTCCAATTAATTTTGTTCTCAAGAATAAAAAGCATGGACACAATTTTAAGTCTCGTTTTTTCCCAATTTATTCTTTGTTGTGCCCACATGTATCATACACATGTTTTACTTTTTCAAGACAACTAGGCAGAGAGAGGAGAGAGAGAGAGAAAGAGAGAGAGACTAGAGACTTAGTCAACTTTAGAATAAATTTCCCTCTAGTCCCAGGCTCTTCTCTCCAAATGGAGGAACCTAAGCCAGAAGGAAACAAGGAAACAGCCCAAGAGGGAAATAGTTTACCTTCAAGGTATATTTAGCTTACCTGTCTTTTTAGAATGTACAGCATATTAATTGCTAGAAAGAACAGGTGTGGATGTAGGGTGTCTCTGCCTTGTTGGCCTGCCTTAACATCTTTCAAGAGCTATTTATTCAGCTCTGTTGAAAGATGGAACCCAGGGGACAAGTTCTTTCAGGACACTAGCTGCAGGGAGTGACATTTTACTCATTTCTTCTGGAGGTACCCACTGGCTTCCTGGGGTTTCAGGGGGAGCTTTGAAGGCTTCCCTGTGAACTGCTGAGTGTTTCATCAGCTCTGAGGGTCACAACCACTTACCACTGAGAAACTTCTGAGGACTTTCTTAATCTATACAGGGTTTTTTTTTTATAGCCTAGGGTAGTGGATATGACTTCTTTGTGAACTTGATTTCTGAAGCAATAGCAAATATCCTAAGAGAAATTTGGAAATGAGCAATAGAAAAAAATGGCATGTGTTTATGGAACCCATTCCTGTTAATGAGTAAATTCCATGAGTCTTTATGTAATTGTAAAGAGGTTTGCAAAATACAGCTTGCTCAAATAAACCCAAGGCCACATGGTTTGGGGCTAAAGAGGCTGGGAGCAAGTACGATAGATTTTTTTTTTCTATCTTTGTTGCCTCCGTTACAAATTTCTTTATTACAGGTGAGTGCTGACCTGAGTCCCGGCACTGTAAGGGCCTGTGATGGGTTGAAAGTTGTGTTCTGATCTGTGGAGAAAAGACATGTTTTGGTTTCATGTTTCAAACACTAGCCTAAGACAAGGAACAGAGAATAAGAGAGGACAGGAGGAGGGCAGAGGGAAAAGAAAAAGAGAAGGAAGGTCAGGAGAGAAAAAGAAGCTGGGGTGGAGACTGCTGGAGGTAAGGAAGAGTAGAAGAGTGTGAGGAGGAAGAAACTGAGAGCATGAAGGGAAGGGAAGTGGGAGAGGACCTGGAGGTGAAGGCCAGGGGGATACATTGGCATTTGCTTAGTATTCCTTTTACATGCCAGGTGGTGGGCTCTCACTTAAACTGCTTCTGTAACTCTCTGAGGTGCTGCAAGTTAGATGTGGTATAAGCCCTAAGTTTAGATGAATAAACTGAAACTCAGAGGTGTCAAACAACTAACTGCCTGAGGTTACACAGCAAGGACCATCCAGACTGTATCTTGAAGTCAGAGTTCTGAATGTCTACCTTCTTAAGATCCTCTGCGAAATGCATGATTTGAATAAAGTTGGAGACTAACTTAACTTTGGGGTTAAGCAAGCTTATGAACATGTGACTACAGACTCATGGCTCTCTTTCATGGGTTTTAGATGCTGGTCCATTTATATACATATCAATAAAATGTAAACTTGTATTTAAGGAGAGTTTAGACCAGTATTTTTAATTTTTACTATATGTTAGTCACCAGGGAGCTCACCAAGTGTAAGTTCCTCAGACTAGGCACTGGCTTAGAGCCAGATGTTCAATGTTTCAAACACACTAGCTCACATCTGATAATCTAGAACATCCAGAACAGTATCATTCTGTCCAAAAGCCAATATTTGAGAGGACACTTGCCTATTAACAGCAAGGTAAAAATAACAAGCTGTATTTATAATTAGCTTCAATTATGAGAAAATTCCTCTTACATTGAACAAATAGATCTCACATAATCTGCCTGGTTTACTTAAACAGAACTACATATAGAAGATTTAAGCTCCCAATATTATTACATTTTATTTTTAAAGTGTGTGTGTGTGTGTGTGTGTGTATATATATATACACATGCATATGGATGCCTGAGGAGGCTGGAAGAGAGTATGGTATTCCTTGGAGCTGGAGTTGCAGGTGAGTTACCTGGTATAGATCATGGTAATTGAACTCAGGTCATCTGAAAGAGCAGTAAGTGTTCTTAGGAGCCCCCTTTCATTTTTTAAAATATTTTTTTTCCTGAATGGTATTTTTAAGGAAGTGAACTTGTAAAGAAAATAACTATTTATGTTCCTTATGGATCTGGAATTTGTTCCTCAGCAGTGGGTGGGTGAGGGGGAAATGCTGGAATCCCAAACTGCACCTCTGATGAGAAGATGGGCAGCTATGTTCTTTGCTGGGTAGCCGTCAGAGAACCTCACATGAGAAAAAGATACGATTTCTCATTTCCTATAGCAACATCATGGCACACATTGCCTAGATCAATCAAGTGCTGCCTCAGATGTGGAAGAATCCTGTGTGTCACGGTGAAGGTGAAGTTGGTTCTGAAGAGGAAGGCACTTTCAAATAAAGGACCCTTGGGAGCCCTGCCATTTCTGAGGTTTGGTTTGCTTTTATCCAGCTGGTTCTTAAGCCACTAAAATCAACTGAGAGAAGAGAAGATGCTGTCTAGAAAAATATCATGTGTTTCCAAACATGTCATTGGCCATCCCAAATCCCTAGAGAGTACTTAATCACCTACTTAAAAAAAGCAGAATCAAGTATTTATTCATTGATTTAGAAGAAAGTTAATTACTTATAAATTTTAAAGGGCAGCAAAGGGTGGATGTGGATATGAAACATCATTAGTGGTCATTTGTGTATATGTTCTAAAATTTAAAACAATATGATGAGGAAAATTTAAAAAACTATCCCAATTGTTTATTTTTAAAATAGGAACAATGATGACTATTACTATGGTTTGGTGGTTATATGAGAGACTAACACATGTAATTTCCAAACATCTCTTGCTATACAGTCAATACCAGAGAATAGAATGTCAGTCTCTGTACTTGGCATCAGTAATAGTCCTGCTGGTTCGTCATGTGGAACTTCATGAACCTGTTAGTTCAATGAACTCTCTTTGAGTAGCTCTTAAAATAAGTGAAATATAGAGAAGAAAGGGGGATGCAAATGAACACATGAAATCTAGACCGTTGCTCTTTCCTCAGTTTCCCCCAAACTTAAGAAAAGACTGAAGGTTGAAAGTGTGAAAAATAGACTGCCTCAGCCTTTACCCAAAGGTAAAGGTTGCCTAATCCTGTGTTGTTTCCTTAAGAGTTCTTTTCTGGTTCTGCTGCTCCAGCCAGGTTAGGGTGTACAAATCACAACACCAGAAACCTCAGCTTGTTTTGATATTTTTTAATGATGAAATTCTGCATTGTTTATCCTCTGTAGTGGATATAAGGCCAGAAGAGCTCTAGAATATGGACTAATTGGGAAACTGGAGAAGATGAAGGCCTAAATGTCCTTAAACACAATATGCAGCTTAAATGAATGTGTTTACATCACTGCCAAACATAGCATTGGAATTTGCATGTTGGTGTGTGTCAAGTACTGGAAACATTCTGGGTTCTAGCTGTGAGCATCCTAGCCATGTAATCCCAAGTTTCCCTTCTCTTGCCACACACATGGCATCCACTGTGTAGCTGTCAGCCCCATGGGGAGTTTTAACTTCAAAGGTTCAATGCTTCAATCGAGTATCATGGGCAGTCTTAAATGGGTACTGTGCCCGGCAGTCATAGTCCACAAGTCTTGGCCTCATTTGGAGATGTATGTTGCTCCATGGCCTTTCCTAAAATGGGGAACTAGGGTAGGACACATTCATAGTTTTGAACCCAAAGTGGCTCAGTGTAGGTTATGATCACATATTATACACACAAATTTTTGGCTCTTAAACCACAGAATACACTGTTCAGAGGATTGTTACATCTGCTGCTGGGTCCACAGCATTGCACAAGTCAGCAGAGATGAGGAGCCCTCTCCATTACCAGGCCAAACCTCATGGAGTTCACACTGAGTCCATGTTTTTATTTCATTAATAAAATATGACCCCACTGTCCTTTGGTAGCCCAGAAATGTGAGGGTATACTTTCTTTTTTCTGTTTTCTAAACTGCATGCAGATAAAAGAGGATTCCTTTAGAAACTACAACCTTCTAATGATAAATAATTTTTGATTTACTATACATAACAGTAGTGCATTTCCTGTTAAAACAGCAAGCTTTTTTTTTTACCAAAATGAAAAGAAAACATTCATTTTTTATAAATAGTTTAAGTAGTTTAAATACATATTTCATACCAAGGTTATAAAAATAGCTTCTTTTTTTCAATAAATAAAGACATTTTCATTTACATGGCAAATAACGCATGGCTAGCTAGCCACTGGCTACCAGCTCTATTTTACTGATTGTCTAGGAGATGACATGCAGTGATAATTGTCCCTCTGCCTTAACAAAAAGGAAAATAGATCAGTGGGAGCCATGCACCCCCGAGGCCAACAATGCTATAGATATTGTTCAGGAATGACAATCAGGCACTCAGGAAAGACCTTTGCTGCACTTCACAAAAGCACTATGACAAAACTCATCCCCAAACTCTTTGTCTGGGGTTTCTATCTACTCAGACCCTCAGGGTCTTTGGATGGTTACCAAAGTCTGCCAAACAGACCAGTAAGTTAATACCTGTACATAAGAAGGGTTGATGCTTTTCAAGATCTAGAAATTGTTTGCTACAGTAAAGAGGTGGATCTGCCTTTCTCTGGCCCCTTGCCCTCTTTTCTGCAGAATTCCCAACAATGCTTGGGCACCATGCCTACTAGAGGTCCCAGAGGCCGACTAGAGCTGTCATGCAGCAGCAGTTTGGCATTGGAAGCTGCCCTTATGTGCTGATATCATACATTTATAGCTTTGCTGTCCTTTGCATCTGCTGTGCTTGTGACAACTTCTGGAAAGTTCTCCAAGGGTTCTGTAGAGGCTGACATCATTGCTTCTTGGTCCCAAGAGCCTGGTAAGTTTTCCAAACTGAAGGAATTCACAGGTCCATGGGTGGTGCTGCCCTCTTCTGATCTACTTGGGAGAACCAGGTGCAAGGATGTTTCTGATGATGAGCAGATGGAGGATGAGAGAGTGGCTGAGATGGACTGCAAAGGTGTCAGTGTGGTATCAGAATGGGGGGAGATGCACCTTAGGAACTGCAAGTGACCTTCCTGGATAACCTGGCAGTGGGAGGGGGAATAATCAAGGTTTGGAGAATGATGCAGTTCTCTGTCTGCTGGGTTTTGCTCATGAGCTTCAGTTCGCTGAGGGCTGCTGCCCAAAGAGGAGGGATCCACACTCCAGATGTCAGAGGTGACATTACCATGATAAAGCTGCGCTCCACCTGCCTGAAAATGTAGGCAAGGCTGGTGAGCACTCCAGCTCACCCTGGTCTGTAGGCTTTCTCTGGAAGGACACATTGGAGCGGGATGCAGAGAACAAAACTTTGATGGCTGCTGAGGTGACAAGATGTTTTCCAGAAGTTGCATGATGTTCCTCATATCTTTCCCTAGTTGCGAGACCTCCTGAGTCAATGTTGTTACCTGTGTGGAGAGAGCAGAGCCAACAACAATGGTCACAGGTACAGAGAGTGAACAGGAAGTGAGCACTGAAGACAGGAAGTGAGATTTCTTAGAAAGAAGGCCACTCCAACTCAGAGCGAACCAAGCTCAAGGTGAGTGAGTAGGCTGGGCATATAGATGGATGTATTTCCTGATCTAAAGACACACCCACTTTGGAGAGATGAGTGTGGTTAGGGGTTTTAATCAGTGACTGGGGTATCATTGCAAGGAATTAGTGGCTTTGAACATCAATGACAGCTTCCACTTCCTAAGAGAGGATGGGATGCAGATAGGTACACAGATGTCACTCAGTGCCTGGAGGGGCAGATACCATGTGCAAAGCACCAGACACACTGAGCCTTGACTGAACAGCAACTCTCTAGCTTAATATTTCCTAGGGGAGGTCTTCTGACAACAGATCCAGAACCAAAGGGACCTTCAAGAAGGAGAGGGTGGTGAGAACTCTTACCAGATTTTCTAGCAAGAGAGTTCTTGGGAGAAAGAGAGTGCGAAGTGGTTAACTAGAGGCAAGCAATATGAGCACCCAAGTGCCCTGGGGTCTACCAGATAACCAGAAGGTCCTTTAGTTGTAACTCAGAATGTATTGTATCTGCTTCACTTGCTGTAGAGGTGAATATTTAGCATTTGTCAGATTCTCAAAGAGACATAGTCCCTAAACACAAGAACCACAGAAAAGTATTCATTTAAAACAATAATAAAATCCACTGAAAGGTTGTATTACTAACATTAGATTTAGATTAAGACAACAACAACAAAACCCCACAGAGTCCACTAGAAGACTGAATGTGGCTCCAATCTGTGCTTTCTGAAGGAAGTCTGCATCCCCTCAAACAGGATACACACAAATTTCCACTCCTTGGATTACCCAGCACTAACACAATGTTGTAGTGCTTTGCCATCTCTATTTTAATACATCATATCTTATGATAGTGTTGCTGTGAATTGATTTTACTATCATAACCCACAAAGGTTCCAATGGAAGCAGCTGAAGCCCCAAATAAACACCATCAAGACCCAAACAGAGCAGTCTCAACATCATGATACCAAAACCAAAACTGCTGTCTGGGGCAGGCTGCCAGGCTTCTTTATCTCTCTCTCACACACACATTTAAAACATATCTATGTATCCAGTTTTTGTACAAATGTATACATTATGATGAATATGCCCTTTAAGTCCTCCACTCTCCCTCTTCTCTCCCCAGCCAGTCCCTTTGTTTCCCTGGACAGCTTTACTTTCATTGTCTACACATTCCTAGTTCATCCACCCCACTTTCTGTGAGAACATTCTGAAACTAATTCTTTTTTAAAATTTATTTATTTTTTGTTATTAAGAGATTTTTCAATTTATTTTACATATCAACCTCAAATTCCCTGTCCTCCCTCCTCCCACCCCCCATTCCCACCTCCTCCAAGGCAAGGTCTCCCATGGGGAGTCAGCAGAGCCTGGCACATTCAGTTGAGGCAGGTCCAGGCCCCTCCTCCCTGCACTAAGCCTGTGCAAAGTGTCTCACCATAGGCAATAGGTTCCAAAAAGCCAGCTCATGCACTAGGGACAGGTCCCAGTCCCACTGCCTGGGGGCCCCCTAAACAGTTCAAGCTAAACAACTGTCTCACTTATCCAGATGGCCTAGTCCAGTACCATGGGGACTCCTCAGCTATTGGTCCACAGTTCATATGTTTCCACTACTGAAAGTAATTCTTTGCAGCCCCAACAGGAAGTGGCCCTGCTCAAATTCAGGCATTTAGAAAAGTCTAGAAGGAAGTCATTCTGTGGTTCAGGCCACCAACTGTTAACACATTGACTGAAATGTTAAGACCAAAACTCTTTGTGCTGGTATGGAACTGTAGCGAACCAAATGGATGCTTGTTTGGCTTATTTTCAGTGGATCTGCAACCACTGGAAGCAGAACACGCCTCTCCATCTCACGATGGAGTGGAAGCGTGAGTATGAAGGAATCAGTAACTTCGCCAATTCTGCATGTGTTGATCACACCCACTCAGGGTCACAGGATCCCTGCCCCACACACATGCTGATGGTTCTATAGACTCCTTAGCTCCATTATCAGCATTTCAGGTTATGTTCGGCCACCAAATGGGATGATAGAAAGGACATCTGAATGGCTCTCTCTGTGGGCACAGTGAGCCCATTCCTGAATCAAATTCACCTGGGTTGGTGGATTAGCTGAGCTTTTCAGTCAGGATGCCCCCATGTGATGGTTTGAAAGAAAATGGCCCCGAAGGGAGTGGTACTATTAGGAGGTGTGGCTTTGTTGGAGTAGATGTGGTCTTGTTGTAGGAAGTGTGTCATTGTGGAGGTAGGCTTTGAGGTCTCATGTGTGCTCAAGCAATGCCCAATGAGACCCACCACTTCTTGTTGTCTACAAGTCAAGGTGTAGGATACCTGGCTACTTCTCCAGTAACATATTTGACTGCATCCTGCCTTGCTTCCCTCCATGATAATAATGGACTGTAAGTGAGTCACCCCAGTTAAATGTTTTCCTTTATAAGAGTTGCTGTGGTCCTGGAGTCTCTTCATAGCAACATAAACCCTAACCTTTCATTCAGAACTGGATAAAGATAGAGCATTGGAGGACTGTACTTGAACTTTAGGTATATTAAGAATTATAGTATTCAGTGAGAGTTTTAACAAATCTATAATGACACAACATTTTAATGATCAAATAAACCAAACAAGCAGGATTCAGTATGTGAAATCTAATACTGAGTCCCAAAAGTGAAATGATGTTCTATTTTAAAAATGAAAAGTGTGTGTGTGTGTGTGTGTGTGTGTGTGTGTGTGTGTGTGTGTGTGTGTGCACATGAGTGTGGTGCCCTCAGAGGCCAGAAGAAAGCATCAGATCCCCTGGAGCTGGAGTTATGGGTGGTTATACGCCCCCTGACATGGGTGCTGGGAACAGAACTCCTACCCATTGCAAGTGTAATGTGGTTTCTTAGTTGCTGAACCACCTCTTCAGTCCCCAAATGGTGTTTTTAAGATTGCTTGTTTCATGAAAGACATCAGAATTCAGGCCTTATCTTTTGCTATAGTATGTTATCACATTGATTCTGAAGGAGTTAGGAGATGCTTGCTAATGTGTTTAGAATCTCTACAGAACACAGTGACATAAACTATTGCCTCATGGATAAGAGTTATATAGACTGTCAATTCAACATCAGATAAGTAAATAGTGTAATCTCAGAAAACAATTCCAGACTGATTAAACAGTAAATTCTCTTCAAAGCAAATTATATGAACAACAACAACAAAAGATTTGCTACAGGGTAAACACAATAATTCAGAATAAATGCATTTCTAGCTTTCAAAATAAAAATTTTCAATTTATTTAGAGCCATGTTCTTGACATCTAACTTACACTGTACAATTACCATAACTTTTGGGCCATGAATTCTGAATGGGACCCATGGACTGCCCTGGATCCAGGAATATAAACACATATTAACTGTTCCAAAAGGCAAATTACTATCTTAACTGGGACTAAAAACAACATAGGAGTCAAGAAAATAGAGTTCTTAAGTGATGTGAGGGAAGATTTCCATCATTGTACTCCTGGGGACACGCCCCTGCACCCTATTAAAGTTCCATGAGGGAATTAATCCTTTGCAAGGACAAGGTCGGTTGTCACAAAGGGAGGCAGCATCTCCTGAAGGCGGAAACGATGGTGACACTGATGGGGACAGGGACTTCCACAGGAGACACAGTGGGTTTGAATGCAGTGGTGTGTGCTGGTTCCTGCTGGGTTTGCTGACAGAGTCTATTCTAAGATAGAAAAGACTAGTCCTGGTTAAGTATGAGAAACAAAGAGTTTACTTTTTGAGGGTGGTAGAATTCAAGCCTCCACCTTCTTAAAACAAACAAACAAACAAATAGAATTGTCAGTGAACATTGTTGAAGCTGCTTTCAGTCTAGGACTGTCCAGTTACAGAGTCAACATGGAACTTAGTGCCAGAGACTGTGAAGTGAATCAATACAGTCAAGCAGAATCATCCAGACCAAAAAAGGGCAAGCTTTCTTCTTGCCCAACAGCAACCTAAAATCCTTACATATTTCTGCCACTCATATTAGAAAACATGAGTCTTCCCAAGCCCCACCTCTTTTCTATCTTTTTTTTTTTGTTTGTTTGTTTTTAGAAACTTTGCACAAAGAAGGCTGTGTTGATGTGGACTTCTGATTCAAGGTAGAGAGAATGGATAAAAGGAACATTATTTGATGTGTATTCTCCACTTGTATATTGCTTTTCATACATTCATTTTCTTTTTTCTTCCTTCTTCATTCTTTCTCTTCCTCCCTTTCCTTTGTCCCCTCTCCTCTTCCTTCTCTTATGAATGAAAACCCAGCAGTCTGGAATTTAAAACTGTTGACCAAACCAGTTTCACCTTCACCATGTGCCCAGCAAACTGCTCACACCCAACATTTCCTCTTGTCCCAAGTCCTGCCAGAAAGGGGAGCAAGGAAAACACTATTTGTGCTTCCAAGTGACTCGCTTCTCTGGTCCTGACACCAGAGCATCCAAAGACTCCCCTCTTTTATTTTTGTGGAAGGATCATATACTGAAGTCTCAGTTCATCAGGGCCAAGCAGTTGTGTTGGAAATTCCTGTACTATTAGTAGACATCACATCTTGTCACACACAATAAACTTGCCAGCAGTGATAATCCCACACACTGCACTGACCTTGATACGAGTTTAAGAAGGGAACCACTAACTTGCCACACTTCCTTATTTCTCCCACATCCAGGATTCCTTAGAACTTCTGTGTCCTTATTGGCCTACATTTCTAGAGTACCTTGTTTACTGCTGTTTTGTTTAATCAGCTCTACTGATATATTTTTACCTGTCTCCCTCTCTCCACTGATCATTTTCCCATAAGGACTGTGATGTATGGCTTAAATAACATAGATGTAAATTTTAGTCCCTATATAATTGGTTTTATGTCAGCATCC